GGGGGGGGGGCGGGAGGAGTATAGAAAAGAAACTGAATGGGAGAAGGTAGCTAAGTGTTAGATCTTTTATAATATAGCAATAGGAGATTAAATAGGGTATAATTTAGCCTACTTTTAAAAATTATAGCAATTAAAGCAAGATACGGATGGGATTATATATGTGCACTGTGTGACCTAGTCTCTGGAAAGAATTACAGTCTTTTGAAGCGGCCAAACACATTCTTTAGATGTTATTTTATTTCGCTGTGATAACCACACACAGGCAATTTCTGTGGACTATTGTTTTTCCTAATCAGTGACTCAGCCCAAATGTGGGTTATGATAAATAAGACATGAAACAGCTAACATTCTATCTATTCTTTTCATTTTATCTTGTCTGTTGTCTCCACACACTGGAATGTCAGTGGCATGAGAGTGGGGACTCCTGTCTGTTTAATCTCTGTATCCTCAGCATGTGGAACAGTGCCTGGCATGTTCCGCAGACCCAATAAATAGTCACTGAAATTCAGAATGAATAAATACTGATTTGAAATAAGAAAAACAAAAGGTTTGATAAACCCGATAAAACACAACCCACAGCTCTCCAAAAAAATGGAGATTAATAATCATATGAAAAGAAGAGAGGAAGTTCAGCCAGCTCGGAAAGAGAGCCAGGTGGGGGCTCCACTCACCTGCGCGGGGGAGGTGGTGGGGGCCCACTTGTCCATTATATAGCGGAACAGCATGAAGATCTTGTCAGACAGTCGGTTGGCATCCAGCCTGGGATAGGGGAAGTCTCGCCAGTGGTTCACATACTTGTAAATGGCCTTGCTGAACTTCTCAAGGGCTGCATTTTAAAAACAACCACAGACTGAGAAAAATATAAGGGTGGGAAGAACCGTCAAGTAATTTGAGAGTAGGGAGGAATAGCAAATATAGTATAATAATTTCTATAAGATCTAATAACTCTACTAAATAAACATATAAAAAATGTTCAGCCATGTTAGTGAAATGTAAGTGAAAACCATATGAGATACTATTACCTACCATCCGCTATGGCCAAAATCTAAGCCAATGTCCAGCGTTGACAAGACTAAGATGTAGCTGGTATTTTCATGTACTGATGGTGGGAGAATGAACTGATACCAATACTGGGAAAAAGTACTCGACACTATCTACCAAAGCTGAATATGTGATCTCTGTGTCCCAGAAATTCCATCCCAAGGTATATATACAATCATTAGACATGTGTACATATAGGCACTAGAAAGTTGTACAAGAATGTTTCATGTTAGGGCTGTGTGTGTGTGTGTGTGTGTGTGTGTGTGTGTGTGTCATAGCCTCAAACAGAAAATATTCCAAATATCTGCCAACAGATGGAATGGAAAACTAAATTGTAGTGTAGACACATGATAGTATACAGAAGTGAAAATAGACTACACCTACACAAAACAACATGTGTGAATCTCACAAACGGGCAAAACTAATCTATGCTGTTAAACGTCAAGATTGTGAGAATGGAGTGACGGCCGGGAGAAAAGAGGGGGACATCTGGGGTATTAGCAGTGCCCCACTTCTTGACCTGAGGGATGGTCAAATGGATACACTCACTTTGTTCCAGCCCATCGACCTGTACACTTCTCATTTGCATGTCTTCCTGTGTGTCTGTTTTCCTTTTAATTTAAAAAGACCTTGGGCCTACAACGATGCCCTGTGGGCCACTGACCGATACGTGTTTGCATCAGATGCAGAGGGCCTTCCACACGGCAGGCACCCGATAAACAGCAGCTCTTGGAAAGGACAGGAAGGGGGCAAAGGAAAGGGAAGCGAGCGGTGTGCTCAGTTCGCGGCCTGGCCCCAGCGGGGGCGCAGGGTACCCACCGACGCAGAAGGCCGCCTTCATGCTGTCCTCCTCGGCCAGCCGCAGCATGGTCTGCATGGTGAGCAGCGTCATCATCATGAAGGGGATGCTCTGGGACGCTGGGGGAGAGCAGGCAGGCGCTGGCCTCGGGCTGGGAGCTCCCGGCCTCCTCGTGCCAGCAGCAAGGTGGCCAGGCCGCGCTGGGCCGGGCAGGCGGGGAGGCGCAGGAGGGAGGGTGCTCTCCAGCCCGCCCCACCACAGTGCCAGGCTGCGGTTAGGGAATTAAGGAACCACTGGCTTCATAGCTATGCAGCCACTTGCACCTCTGTTTAGCAGCTATGACTTATTTGGATAATTGTTTCATGACCGTTCATCCCTCCCATCAGAACTTTCCTGTATCTCCAGGGCCTAGCCCAGGTAATAGGTGCTCAATAAATAAAGTGGTGTAGGAAAAATATCTTAAGAAGCCCTTACTGCGTGTAAGTGTCCATTGGTTTGCAGAATACGCCTGTGGAAAACGTGCTTCTGCAAACACAAAGCTGGCGGAAAGGGAAGGCGGGGCTGGGCGACAACCCGGCCAAATTCGGAGCCAGCCGTGCGGACCAGTGGCGGTCAGCAGGCGCATCTCCGCCCATGCACGGCTGCCCAAACCCCTCTGTCCATGCTCTTCAGTTCGGCACAAGGTAGGGATGCTGCCCTCCTGCTGTTGGCCCCCCTGGGGTTTTCCACAGTGAGTCAGGGCGGCTGCTTCCCAGGGGAGCCTGGCGAGGGCCCCCTCCCTACCGTAGCTGGTGGCCAGCTCCGCCAGGGCGAGCACGACGAATTCATTGGGCAGCTCCAGGATCCTGAAGTTACTCTGTATTTCGTACATCACAGAGTTGAAATCATGGGCAGCGAGAGACACCAGCACCTCGCCAGCCAGCATTCTGATTCCTCTGAGGACCTGAGGGACAAACGGAAAGCAGCAATAGTGAGCGAGGGGGGACGAGGGGACATAGGATACATAACACTTGTGAGTCCCCTGGCTCTGGGGCAGAGGGAGGACAGGCTGTTCACAAACCCGGGCGAAAGCCTCAGGGGTGGTGTCAGTAGCTGGGAAAGCAGAGGAAATCACAGTTCGTTTTCAAACTAGGTTCTAATAGGAATCTTGTAAACTCGGGGTCAATACGTATTTTCTCGCCGATAGATCAGGTACCATAAACATAGGATTGATGTTTTAATTCAGGGATGTGAACAGCTGTGGTTGAATTACTGTGACGGAAAGGCCACGAGGAGAGGAAACTGGGGCTAAGAGTCTAGAGCTTTGGGTTTTAGTTCAGCCCTGATCTAACAATAGCTTTGGTATTGGAGGTAGTTGGAGGAACTTCTGCTTTTGCTAATGGCGAACTAGGTAATTTTTTCCCTTTTTATTGAATTTACTGGGGTGACATTGGTTAACAAAATTATACACTGGCTTCAGGTGCACGATTCCACAACAGGTCATCTGTACACTGTGTTGTGTGTTCACCACCCCAAGTCCAGTCTCCTTCCATCACCATGTTTCCCCTCTATATGGATTAGGTAAATTTAATCAACTCTACTACTGAGAAGTTGCTTAAAAACTCTCAAGCTCTGAAATTAATCATAGATTAATTAATTAGTGTCCTTGGCAGGTAAGCAAGTAAAAACCCTTTCTGGAAGAAAATACCATTATCTTAGGACTCAAAATAATTTCTGCAAATATTTTTTTCAGATACAGTGCCTATGTACATAGATAGGTAGGCCATAAATAAAAATTTACATGGGAGTGAAGAAAACTGGGTTCTAGTCACCTGTTCTGTCAATACATAACTGTCACTTTGGAAAAAAAAAAATCTCTCTAAACATCAAGTACCTCATATAAAAGTGGATTGGATAATATGACCTCTAAAGTCTTAGCTTGGCCTCAGTTTCCTCTTCTGTGAAAGGCTAAATAACAGGCCCTGTTACTGCAGACAAGTTACCGTGAAGACCAACTAGAAGTGATTTTATCTGCGGTCCTGGCAGCTTATGGACGGCTACATGGGTGCAGTCGGGTCACTGAGAGACCTGTTGTTGGCCGTGACACTGACTCATCACCAACAATCAAACTTACATTGTTGTCTCTCATGTCCTTAGATGCGTAATAAATCAGCCTTTGGACAATGGCGTCATCCAGGATGTCACTGTTCTGAATAACGGAAGTGAGGTGACTGTAAATGTCTTCCTGTGAACAGACGAGGGAAACAGAAGTGTGAGTTGCACGGCTAAAGGAACCACATGGAACCCGAGTGGATAGCACCGTGAAACTAAGCAATGGATCTCTCCTGCCCCCCAGATTGCGTGCATCTTAGTCGGGGCTTCCTGGACATAACATGCTTCTTCAGGGCCCAAAGGCTTCCAGGAAGAGCAAAACCTAACCGAAGGAGGGGTGGGCTGCTTGACTATCAAAGTCCCCTGGAGATCACTGTCATAGGCACACAGGGGAATGGAAATGCCCGTCAACCTCATTGCTGCTCTTACTACCAGGGAGTGACTAGTATTAAGGAACAAATGCCATTCCCAAAGAGGCTGCGAGGCTATGAAACTGGCCCCTGAGGGAGGTTTAGAGTCCTTTGCTTCATTCATGTCTTTGTGGGGAGAAAGTGATGCTCTTTTATTTTTGGATAGAGCTGCAGACTCTGGGCAGCGAATGGCTTGACCAGATGCGGCGTCTGAAGGCCCTTCTGCATCTCTCAGGTGGCTGCATGGCCTCTGGAAGAGGCGAGACTGGGTGCTCTGAAACCTCCAGCAGCCTCGAGCGTGTCGCCTCGAGGTACGGGGCCTGCTTTAAAATGTGAAATAACTCTCTCTGCACACAGACTCTAACGTGCAGTCAGGGCCGAGAGCCACGGAATTAAGAGAGGAAGGCCTAGGCATTGCCCTTCCCAGGGAGGCTGCCCTGAATCGGGAGCATCGCTTCGGAGCCCGACAGGCTTGTGTTTGGATGTCTTCCTGCTGCTCTTAGGCAAGTCACGTAACCTCTCTGTGCCTCACTTCTCTCAGTTGTCAAATGGAAATCGCAGTACCTACCTCACGGAGTTGTGAGGAGGGAGTAGGATCCGATGCAGTATTGTTTGGAGAGCACACAATCAGCGCCCAAGGAAGGGTAGCTATTGTTACTTTACAAAAGGTTAGTGAACCCAGAACAGCCTTGGAATCCCAGAGGAAAGGCCTCTCCTTACAGATGCCTAGGGGAGGTCTTTTGGGGTTCTCAGAGGAGCCCTCACATCATACAGGGGGAGGTGCCATCCCGGTGTTGTGAGCCCGACACCCCCCCTTTCTCCCACTTGCTGCAGGAGGTCACGGGAAGGGGCACTCTTTGGCTAAGACTAGACCTGGATACTCTGAATCTTCAAATGCCAAACACACTTGTTAGGCGATATAACGACTTCCATTGTAAGTGCATTTTCTGAAAGATTGGTGGCCACGTAAGAAGCCCGGGGAAAAGAGGGGTCGAGGCAAAGAAGGGCATCTTTGAAATGTCGCAATACCCCGGACCAGAAAAAGTCACCGGGAAGGGGGCCTTCTCGCTTTTCCTTACCTTGTTGATACCGTCGCCGGTGTTCAGCATGCCGAGGGTGAGGTTAATGTCCCCCGAAGTCTCTAAAACGCATGGGAAGAGGTTCAGTGTGTGCTCAGAAGCCCTCCTGTTCATCACTCCACCGTCCCAGGACAACTCTTCTCTCTCTCCTCCTGAACTGCCAGCTCTTGGCTGTCACAAACTGTCTTATTCATATATCCTATACTTGATATTATCAAAACTAGCCAATGCTAAGAATTTTTTTCAAAACATCAATATATGCACAACCCAAGGACATGGACAATGGTGGGGAGAGGGACTGGGGAGGGGGGGCAGGGTGGAAGGGGTCACTGGGGAGAAAAGGAGACATCTAATATTTTAAACAAAAATAAAAAATACGATACAATACAATACAATAAAAAATAAAATAAAAAGTGGAGGGGAAGATAAAAGATGCTGGATTGCTATGTGTCCCTCCAGCCCTGTAGGCACGGCCTGTACCCCCGCCAGCAGGGCTCAGCTCTCCGACGCCAGGGGCTGCACCCTGACGCAGGGTGTGAGCAGGGGGTGTGGGATGCGGCCCTCTTCCCCTGGCACCTCTCTCTCCTTTTTCCGCACCCCTGCCCTCTGCGCCCTGCCACTCCCCCTTATGGTCCCATGCTCATGGAGCCTTGCTTTTTTCTGATAATAATCTGAAAGCTTTTGACCTGCCCTCTCCAGAAATATTTGTATTTGAAGAAAGCCCTTTGGAAAACTGAAAAAAAAAATTAAAAATAAAAAAATAACTGAGTCAAAGAAATTGAGCATTTTAGGCCACAGGGTAAGTTGGTGGAAGAGATATTTTTGGAGGTGGTTTTCCCAGGCCTCCAAGTCCAACAACAAAGCCCTCAGCACAATCTTTTTTGGCAGAGAGTCAGCCATACTCAAAAACTGGGGAAAATATTTTCCAAGGATTCTTCTAGTATTTATGGTTAAACAGTGTGGACAATAAGGGTGGGGGGGGGGCGGTCCAAGGAAAGTAACCTCATGGGTTCATCTGCTCATAAAATTTTAAATAGGCTAGTCATGGGGTAGTCACATCTCAAGCCTACAACTTTTTATTAAAAGGTCTTTTTCATTTTTGTTGTTTTTTGTAGAAGGTTTATCTTTGCTTTGGCAAGCCCTGTTTACTGTTTCTGTGTGTCTAGGTTAACACACCTTTGAAATAAGATGTAACCACCCTCAAGAGAGCACATAATCTTGTTAACTCTCGGGTAACCCGGCCCCCACCTCCCTTCCTCCCACCTCCATGCCGGTCTTCCTTACGTCCCCTCCTTAATTTCAAATGCATAAAAAAAGCTGCAAAACTGTTATTCCCCAGAGCACTTGAGGTTTTGCTCCCCAGCGTATGTGGTCAGTTTGGCGCAAATAAACTCTTACAAAATTTATGAACAGGTTCCAATGTTTCTTACACCGACAAAAAGAAACGGCCTTTCTCTGTGCTGTGGCCACTTCGGCCTCAGGTGGGCTACATTTTTAAAGGAGACAAGGCACGATCATCTCTCGGGCTCCTAGTGTATCACTGGTTGTTTGCAGTCAGTGTGAGTTTCTTATTTTTGAATTAAGGGAGAGTAGAGAGAAACAGTCTTACTTTACCATAGCTTTTCATAAAACCGTTAAGGTGTATGGACCTCCCCATGACACACACCATCCCCCAGCCCACCTACGCGTACGGTCACACAGACACGCGACCCCTGGCTCCTCAGGGCCCTGGCCAGGCTTACCCACAGGCCCCTCCGTGCCCGGAGTCATATCTTCGCTACTTCGGGCTAAGAGATCGCACCTAAGTATCAGCAACAGTGAGGCTAACAGGCCCAAGAAGCAGCTTGGCAGGTCCCTCGTACACGGCTCACTTAAGGTTCCCTAAATGAAAGTCCCTCCCTCTCTTGATTGGCACAAGGATCTGGAAGCTTCCAGCAACGGGCTGCTATTGAGGAGGAGGCTGTTTTCTACGACCGTGACATTTTCTTGCTTCTGAGCTCTTGCTGACCAACAAAAGGGTTGCATCTCACCGGATAGTGTCCCTTTGGTGGAGACCAGAGTGTCTGAGAAGGAAAGTGTTAGAGACTGGAAGTCAAACCATTTTTGTAGACCAGAGGAGCTCCTCTCCCTAAACGTGGGTCCATTGATCACAGGTTGGGGAATGATTTTCAGCGGTCACATTACGGGCTTGGTGTTGGTAAAGCCTTTGTGGGGATCTTGGGGATTGTCCCCCTTGGGGAAGGTCGGTCACACCGCCTGGGCAGGCTCACTGGGCTGGAACCCCTGCCAGGGGCAGTTGAATGGAATGTCCAACCGACGGCGGGAGCAAAGCCTCCCCTGCCTCCCTCCGGCTCTGCCCGCCCCACCCCCGCCGTGCACTTGGCCTCACTCCAGGCTCAGGCTTTTTCTCTTGACTCTATTCTCTCTTCTGGTTTTCAAATCAGTTATTTTTTACTTTTATCCAGACCTCTTGGATCTAATGCTCTCAACTTTACTAGTATGGACCTAAACCTGGTCCACATGCCCCCCTAACCCTAAACCTGTCTGACCACAGTTTCCCAGGTGTGTCCAGATGGGATGTTAATGGGCAGACCTTAGAGGGAGCGGGATGGGAGTCCGGCCGCCAGGCGATAGGTCTGGGTGGGAAAGGGGCCGAGGCGAGGGCTCAGCACAGTTCTCAGCTGCTGCTGCTTCTCTGGCCAACGCCTGTTCATTAGCAAAGTTCATTTGAGACTTAAAGGGAAAATGCTTCCAACAAAATCTTTGAATAGATATTTTCCACTGTCTTTGTGGTAGGCGTCTAGGGCAGGCTGGTGTTTGAGAACATCTTCAGTCTCCCAAGTCAGCCTCACTATTTTCTGATGCATCCACAAGTGCTGAGTAGCAGGAATCACACGTGGTGTCCTTATTTAAAACGTCCCTTCCCAGGCCCACCTCAGACCTGGTAAATTAGAAGGAGAGGCAGAAATCTGTATTTTTAATGAGCACCCCTGGTGATTCTTACGTTTGCTGAAGTCTGAGAAGCACTGGCCAAGATCCTCGCCCAATTGCCCATTAGCAATAACTCGAAGGCCGTTCATTGGGTTGGGCAAGGACACAGCTGCTCATCTCGAGCACCATGGCTTACCCACTCATTGGAGAAGGGCAGAGAATTGGTGGGTCAAGAGGTATTGAGAGGCAAGAGAGGCACCCTAAAACTCCTAATGTCTTATAGGGAAATAAAAATGTAGGAAATTATATGCACTTAGAATCTTAAAGAACAGTATGTAATAGGATCGATAGGGAGAAAGCTAGCCATGTAGGTGCTGTTACATCAATTTCTTACTCTTTTTGTAAGTGGAGGCAAATAAATTTTGTGGATATTTGTACATAAAGAATTCCTTGATTTCATAGAGATTGGAAAAGTCAGGAGGTGATTGTTGTTTTCTATTTATTTGCCGAGAGTTAGGCAGAGTTATATGGTGGTTACCTGTGGTATTGTGATACAACGTATATTCAAAATACCCTTTTTCCCCCACGGAGCAGGATTTATATATGCAATAAAAGGGAAAAGAAAACAACAACATGGAACTTGGAGTTCAGGAAGTTGAATTGCATCTAAGTTCTGCTTCAAACTAGTTGTGTGATTCTGGAAAAATCGGCCTCCCTGGACCGAGTGCGTATCTTCAACTGTAAAATCTGAGAATCAGGTTAGTTGACCTAAGGATTATTATTTCCTGCCTAAAGCAGCTTTGCTTTCACTTTCTTAGTAATGCCAAAATCCTTTGTAACACTTACTTATATTATAAATGATTATTTTTTGTATTGGACCTTTTGTGGATGGGAAACTTCATAAACCGGGGCTGGGGACTTCTTTCTGCCTTGTGTGATAGCAGCAGAGGGGGTGGGGGCGCAAGAGGTCAGGGGGCGTCTAGGGACTGAGCGTAAAGCAGCATCGCTGTGGGGGGCAAAGCGAGACACACAAATACACCTCAAAGCCTCATACAACGACGAGGCCTCACTACTGTGTCTTGATTAACAAACCTCGAGGGATATGAGCCATGAACTGCTCATCTGAAACGTGCAGTCACTTTTCTGCGTGTGATTAAGCTTGCTGCATTTTAAAACTGAGAATGTGGTTTTAAAGTCATCCCTTCGGGAATTCGGAAGGTGCTGAAGAATTGAATTCAGAGAAGGGAATTTGCAGGTGGATTTATACAATGATTTTGCTCTCAAGTGATAGATCATTCAGGCCCCTGCAGATGTGTGGGCAATTTCCTAGCAATTTGTTTCCCAGACAGCTCTCCTGCTGGCCATTTCGAGCTTCATTCCTAACAGGTGCCTGACTTCATGATCCAGAGCAGTGAGGAAGCCCTTGGCCTCTGCAGCCCCCTTAGTGCCTGGATCCCAGGAACCGGCTGTCTGCTTCAGGGGCTCACGGGGCCCTGGCCAGAGAGCTTTTAGAAGGTCACTAACCGTCAGGTCGTGTTAGTGAGAAATGAAGCGTCATATTTTGACTGAGGAATTCAGCTTTAATCATTGCTAGAGAATTCAAAGTAAGAGGCTTTCACTATGCCAGCTTTTCATAATAATAAATTACTTGGGCCCCATAACTTCCTAAGTAAATAAATCTGAAAAGAAACAGTCATTAGTATTGTATTTTTAAGGATTACAAGATAATCCTATTACCTCTGGGTGATTATCTTATATGTACAAAAAAAAAAATCTTTTACTTTTTTTTTTTTTTTAAAGAAACAAACATCTCTGTTGTCTTTTGATTCCTTTTATAAGATTAAAAAACATTGTTAATTCATGATTGGGGTAATTTCAATATGCGGATATTTTTATGGTACATTTGGAGACTTTTAGAATCCAATAAATATTCAATGAGATTTATCAAAACAACTTGTTAAGTGAAACTCTTAAAAAACATTTAAGTCAAGAAGTCATGGTAAAATATTAGATAAGATTCCAATTAATACAATTTCTGGTTACCAGTCGCATTCAGATATGAGGAGGGGTTTTGCTGGGAAAGAGGCACATCCTAAGACCATGCTCTGGGTCAAGGACCGAGAGAGAAACCACGACTCTCATGGGTGGTCCCAGTGTTAGTGTATGTAATTCCCCACCTTATTCTAGTGCACAGAAGTCCAAGAAGAGGAACCTGGAGCCCATGTCAGCATCTTATGCTTACTAGAGCAGGAAAGTATAACCTGTTAATAAATATTAGAGATGTTAGCAATAAGGTCACACACCATACCTAAGCCCCGGTTGCATCTTCTGTAAAGTGGTTGGTTGTGTAGGTTCAAGAAGTAATTGAGGGAAATAATGTTGCTCTGAGCTGTCATTGAGTTCTGGTCGTCTGCTGTTTTGTTTGAGTTGCTCTCCTGCTTGTCATATTTACAACTTAACCCAAACACAGACTATGATGCGGACTGTGGTAAGNGCTTGTCATATTTACAACTTAACCCAAACACAGACTATGATGCGGACTGTGGTCTTACGGCCTGTAAGCTCCACTTGGTTTCCTCTGCTCCGTTCAGGGGCTTAGAAACTTTCCCTGGAAGTAGGGTTGGGCAGCCATTGGGGCTAACCTCGTATCGTCTCCACTCTTACAGGTCAATGTCCTGGATTAACTGGTCTTCAGTGTCTGAAAACTGTCATTTTTTATATTGTGTCTGTTGTTTTAGTTGTTTTATGTGGAAGGGTAAGTCCAATCCCTGTTGTTTCATCTTTGCCAGGAGCAGAAGCCTGCAATGTTCTTGTATATCTTTATGCTGTGTCTGTCTTGTGAACTTCTGCCACCTAGTTTGCGCCCAGGGACACTAGTGTATAAGTTAGAAATATTTTTCCTTGCAAAAACAACAACAATAAAAAAAACCCAAACCCAGAAAACACTTTTAACAGTGGCTTAAACCTGCAGCGTTTTTTTGTTCTTCTGTAAAACTCCATCTGGAGACAGGCGGCCGGAGCTAACGCAGCTGCTCGCAAGGCTCTCACGGATCTGGGCTCTTTCTCTGCTTCTGCTTTACTGTCTGTAGAATGTGTTTTGGTGTCTTAGTTGCAAGAAGATTGCCGCACCGCCGTGTAGACCTCAGGGTTGCGGTCCAGGAAGGAAGAAGGCACACAGCTCTCTCCGTGGGAGGTATCAGCATTCTTCATTTGGACAGAGGAGGCACCCACCGTGAATTTCGTTCACAGTGCCTTGGTAAGGATTTGAACACAGGGCCGCTCTTCACTGCGGTGGAGTCTGTGAAATCATGTATTTCAGCTTCCATGCCTCCCAACAGAGGGAAGCAGGGAAGGAAGGGGCTATGAGGACCTTTTGGATAGTCCAGGGTGTCTGCAGGAAAAATAATGCTGTTATGTTTCAAACGTTTAAGGCTGTATAGATTGCCACACCCCTAAATATGACTAGAGATCCGTGGGAGCCAGATAGGGCCACTGAGTTCCGATGTTTGATCACATTTTCCCTCTGTGTTTGTCAGTTGGCTTTATACGAATCTTCCATAGAAAATAAGTGTAAAGGCAAACTTATGAAATTAGATTAGGGTATAAAAGATCAATTCGAATGGATGATCGATAAGTTTACTACATTTTGACTTGTTTATTATTTAACTCAAGCTCTCCAAACCAATGTTTCAGTTCTCACTTAGGCTTCTGTGCCTCTTGATCACACACATAAACAGAGCTTTACGTGTGCATATGTGCACTCACAGACACAGATTTGAATTTTGATTCTGTTGAGGTGATAAAATTTATGAGAATACATTTTCTTTGTTTTAAAAATCCCAGTGTAATAATTTACAAGGGGAATTTTGATTCGGTTAAATGATTAAACAGATGTTTCTGCATGAGAAGCGAGATCTCCAGGGACAGACCGAGCATATTAGTAATCTTTAATGTGTCTTTCAAAGGCTGGGAGTAACTAGTGGTATATTTGTGGGCTATATCAGAATAATTATTTTCCCTGTTTACAAAACACCGATGTAGCAGAAAAAGACAATATTAAGGAAATAAAGAGAAAATAAGCTTAAAGACAGCAATACTGAACAATTTCAGCTATAAACACTTGCCCTATAAAGACAAACTTTAAAAAGCATGTGTGTGTGCTTGTGTCTGCCTACACATCCCTTATTTTGCAGTGTAAATTGACAAAGTATCTCACTCACAAGTTATAGTATTTAGACAGGTTTGTGGTTCTAAAGTTGGCACTTAAATATTTCCCTGTCAAGAAGAGTCACTTTTAAGATTTATTAAGTGAGTACCATATGCACATCTAAATTTAGACAGTCCTATTTAAGCAACAGAATTAGCAATTCTCACAAGGGCCATCCTGCTGCGGGTGGAAATAGGATTCTTCCAAGGAGTCGTGAGAAAAGTATTTCAGGGACTTGCACAGAGGAGACTGTGAGCAATAGTGGAAAGATTTATTGGAGCGAAAACAAAGGACTGCCCCCAGGTGCCCGATGTCTCATCTACGACCTGGTGGCTCAGCTCCCTCTTACTGCAGAAGTCAGGCCTCTGAGGCCTCAGACCTGCATCTACGCCTATCAGCCCAGGAGGATGAGGACCCAAACATGCAGGACTTCTCTGGGCCTCATTTCCCCATCTCTCTGTGTGCAGCCAAGGCCCGATGGCACCTGGGGTGTGACTGGCTGATACCCCCAGGCTCTGTGGCTGCTACTGAGAGAGAACCTGTGAATGCGTGAAACAGGCCTTTGCTAGGCTTTGATTATATTACCTAGGGTTTGAGGAGGGGTAAGCTTTCTTTCAAATTGGCATATTCTTCATCTCATCCAAGCCCCACAAAGTAAAGGAGCACAGCTGTTCGTAACAGCATTTTATTGTTGAGGAGACCAAAGCTTCCACAGACCTGGCAAGTTGCTCGTGTCTCCTGACTTCAGGAATAATTCTCTTTCCTGTTTTCCTTACTGAAGCAGCAGATGCTCAATGTGTGTTGGAAAATGAAATTATTGAGTGTTTAAAAAGTGATATTTTGCTGAACAGGACCAGGGCACTTCTGGGGCTTAAAGGCAGAGATGAGAGTTGAGTGACTGTCATGAGGAGGCAGCAGCAGTGCAGAAAGGGGGCAACTAGC